ATTCATCACGCTTTCCATGACATTCTATCACCGGGTCTGCTACTGTATCAAAAGGGAATGAATTTGAATAGTGTGGCATGAATTTAGTGTAAACTAATTGAAGTGCTGGACGCATTCATATAGCTAGAAGCCGAGAGTACTAGATTACTAGTTTATGTTCTTAAAACAAAACTATTAAATGATACATGCTGAAAAGTTTTTTCTTTTTCAATTGTTTCAGTTGACGCTAGATTACTAGTTTATGTTCTTAAAACAAAACTATTAAATGATACATGCTGAAAAGTTTTTTCTTTTTCAATTGTTTCAGTTGACGTGGAGAAACATGCCAGGGATTTCATGGAGGCTGCCAAAAAGCTTCAACTGTATTTCATTGGTCTGCAACGTGAAGATCAACCAACCATGTCTGAAACACTGAGGAAGGTAAATTCCCACCACTTGCTCCACTCCCCCCAAAGCATCATTGGGACTCTGATGAAATGGTGTATTGCATCTTAACAGGATATTGCTATGATGGAAGAGGAGTTGAAAGTAAAGGATGAGCTGATCAAGAGACAAGAGAGATTGATTCAAGGGTGGAGGAAGGAATTGAAAGATCAAGCGGAAAAACACAACACTGAATTAGAGAGGGTGTAACAGAGCCTGCTCGCATCAGCCATTTGGGATGCCAAATCGGGATCAATAACATTTATTTGTATTCAAGTGCTTGCCCGGCATTATTTTATCTTTTTTTTTTTTTTGTGTAAATCGGGGCTTAGAGCCCAACATTATTTTACCCTTAGCTTTCGAGTATGTGCGATCAATCAAAACACCTTCTGATAACAGCCATGCCTCGAAGATTGACTGAAAATGGCCAATGTCTGTGGGTGACCAATATGTGATTATAACTGGCAACAGCATTATCTAATTTAATCTGCAACATTACACTCAAGCAAAAATTACTGTTGAGTGATTCTCAGAAGCAAAGGAAAATATTTGACAGAAGTCGCCCATAGCTACAATGATACACGAAAACTCTAAACCTCCTGTTCAAACAAAGAATGAAAAAGATAACAGGACACGCTTGCAAGAAGTTGAAGGTCCTAATGTCAGCCCTCCCCTAGTAGCAGCTGAAAACCCAATCATTTTTGTCTATTTCTTGGCGTAGGTAATTAACATTGAATTCTGCTGAAGTATCTTGAATCCCTGAAGTCCATGCATTGCACCTGTTGATTGCATCTCATCTCCATACTCGACAAAGGCAATCCCTGGCTTTGCTTCCACCATCCTGACCTCCTTAAAACCGGGATACTGCTGGAAGAGCATTTGCAGCATCATTGGAGTAGTCTCATTGGGAAGATTTTGAATAAACAGAATGTTATTTGGTGGAGCTGGAGCCTCAGGAACCATAGATTTCACACCACCTGGATAGGGTATTTGTAATTGCTGCAACAACAATTTGAAGGTCAGGATCATAATAAGAGATATTGAACTTTCTTTTCACAACAAATTGACAGCTAAGCTTCACCAGTTTCTGCAAACAGGCTGTATCCTTTTGAATCTCAGCAACGAACTCTTTCACTAATGAATGGAAGTGAAACTAATTTCCATTAGTTTATCATTAGCCAAGGTAACTAGCGATGGATTATTGTTTGATGTTTAATAAGTTGATCAACATAGGATCAGCAAAGAATGGTGTTCCATCAGCAAAGAGAACTAACACTCTAGATTAACTGACTAGAAATGCAATCCTCATTGCCTACTTCAAATGAATATATATTATAAATGCTGGCCTGCTCTCTATACTTTATAGCAACCAAAAGTTCGTTTGTAAAGAAGTCAATCTTAATTTTCGAATCCAAATATAAAATTAACTAGCTGAATTTCAGGTGAATAGTAATCACAAACATGCTGTCAAATCCATAATCAATTAAGATAGAGAGTAAGATGAAATTAACCTAAAAACCACATATTCTAAAGAACCCAGTAGGTTAATCCTAATCGAACAGAGAACATGCTTACAGAAGGTGTTGTCCCGTAGGCGCCGCCATAAGCAGGAGTCAGACCCACTCCCACTTGATTAGCATCATGTTGATCTTTCTTCTTTTTCCCTGCCATTAGAAAAATATAGATCTCAGAGGAATATAATTCATTGAAACTGAAGCATAATCTACACAAAGATTCATCTATCCCAAATCAGTTCCACATCTCAAAGTAATATCAAGCATATGTACATTCTACTGTTTCACAGCCATGTGTATTTAAAAACTTTTCATATTTTTGGTTATGAAAGGGGCCAAAGGTCCAAAACAAAGAGCTAATCACTACCACAATCATGACTAATCCCTATTGCCATTAAATCACCCTTTGACTTCTCCCATTAAAAAGCAGGAGTGGCAAAAAAAAATGGTCCCGAGTTCTCAGCACAAAAGTTCACTATGCATATTGTTTACAAACACAAGTACACATTCTGTTTCATGCTATACATATATATAACTTAGAATCATAGTTACACAAATCACTCTTTCTATAATCTATATGAGCAAGGCCATGACATCAAAATTGCAAATTTGCTAAGTCAGACAGTGAATACAGACAAAATTACAATTGGTCATGTTCTATCCTTGCAAGATCCAAAATAAAGGTACATAAAAAAAAATGTGCTACTAAACAGAAACATTATAAGCAAATGCTTGGCACTTATTAGTTTCTTTCTGTCATTTACTAAATAAAGAATATAAAAAAGTGTGAGAGGGAAAGATAGAGATGCCTTACCTTTTTCCTCATGCCTCCTTCGTTTTTCCCGTGGAACAAAAGTACCATCAGCTTTTGCTATGATATCCGATTTAGTTTTTGCATATTGTATTCTCTATATTCGAAATATTTTTCATCAACATTAATTTTTGGCAAAAGAGGGGGACCCATGCTTTACAAAGAATATGAGCTTAGTCAACGCGAGGAAAAGAAAAGTAAAGGAATCATGTTTAAATATGGTTCTCTGCCAATAGATTAAACAGAAAAAGAAAGAAAAAGTTAGAAACGTGACAAGGTTCTTCTCTACTAGTAAATAGAAAGAAACAAATTCCACCCAGAAGATTATTGAAGAACCTTTATTTTTACCGATTGTTACTGCAGAAGTAAGAACGTGTATCTTACAAGCAAACTAGGATCTAATTGTTTCTAATTCAAGCTATGAAACCAGCAATGCAAAGAATAAGATACGGTCAGTGAAGCACTAGAAAGAGCAGCCCCTCCTTCAGCGCTCGTTGGGG